AGTGGCAACTGACACCAGACAGTCGTCCACATAAAAACATTTTAGTACCTTTTCTACAGTTTTCCCTTGGTACTCGTGTCCATAATCCTCTGCACATTTCCTGAGAGCAAAATTGGCACAGCTTGGGGATGACGTTGCACCAAAAAGATGGACCTTCATCCTGAATTCACATGGTGCTTGATTCAAGTCCCCTTGTGGCCACCAGAGGAATCTCAACAAGTCTGCATCTTCTGGGGGCACCCGGACTTGATAAAACATAGATTCTATGTCTGCCATTATGACCACCTGTTCTCTTCTGAAACGTGTGACCACTCCAATTAGTGAGCTTGTTAGATCCGGGCCTTGCAACAGGTGTTCATTTAGAGACTCTCCCTTATAGCTGGCACCACAATCAAACACGACACGGAGTTTCCCTTTGGTTGGGTGGTGGACGCCATGGTGCGGGATGTACCAAACTCTGTCGTCCCTCCGATCCAGCTCTTCCTCAGGAATCATCTCTGCATAATCTTTGATAAGGAGATTGTTCATAAAGATATTATACTCCTCATGAAACTGGGGATCCCTCTGGAGCCTCCTCTTCAGGTGGTCTAAACGTTGCTCTACCACCTTCTTGTTATTGGGCATGGTGACCTGTGCCCTCTTAAACGGTAAAGCGATCTGGTAGTGACCATTGAACCGTTTGGTTGACCTTTTGACCAGCTCCATAAACCTCAAGTCCTCTCGAGACGGGCCGACTTGTTCCTCCCCAGCAGACTCTGGGAAATCCATCCTGAATTGTTGTTGCCACATTTGATCCAATTCCACAATAGACATTCTGTTCACAGTCACTGGCTTCACACAGTAGTCGGCCTCTCCACTGTTTCCTGTCAGTGGTCCGTTTACCGTCCAGCCCAATGCTGTTCTTATTGCATATGGTCCATTGCTCTCACTGCGAATTACTTCCAGTGGCTCCATGGCCTGTGGGACATTGGTCCCTATCAACAAATCAATCCCACTCTCAATCTGTGGTAATGAGAGGTGTCTCAAATATGGCCACGCTTTCAGATCCTGCTTCATTGGAATGTTTGTCCTGTCAACTGGCATGGACAACTGTGTATAGGCCTTTGGGAGAATGATGAACTGATCATCGTCAAGGGCTGCGACCTCCAGCTCCGGCACAACGTAACTCGTGATCACCTTCTCCTGCCCCATTGTCCTTAACAGTACATTCGCCTTTCTCCCCGTCAGGTGGAGCCTGTGCATCAAACTCTCAGTACAGAATACCGCAGTACTGCCCTGGTCCAGGAAGGCATACGTAAGGATGATTTTGCTGCCTTTCCTAGCCTTAACTTGTACCGGTACGATAGGGAGTTTGCAGTCCTGCTCACCAGCCCCTGTAAGCCCACTGGAAACCAGAGTTCTGTCCACCAGCACATGGGCACCTTGCTTGGCCTGTTCTGTGCTTGCTGCACTGTCTTTATGGAGCACTGTGGGGTGTCTACGATCACACTTTGAGCACGACATCCTCTTTTGGCAATTTCTGCTGATGTGCCCTGTGCACAGACAACTGAAGCATGCCCCTTTTTCCTTGAGGAAGTCGATTTTCTCCTTGTGCGTCATTTTCTCCAACCTCGCACATACGTCCAATGAATGTGCTCCATTGCAGCATGAACGGCTCTTCATTGCACCGTCTGGCTTTGTGTACTTGATTCTCAGTGAGGGCTGTACATTACTTTTGACTGAATTGATGGTTGTAGCAAAACTGGTTCCTTTGTAACTGGATTGTTTGTAGGGCTTAGGTTTACTTATAATTTTGGTGAGTGTTGCAGTTGTGTCTTGAATGTTTCCAAAAACCGGGTCTGTTGGTATCTTAACTTGCCGCTCTACGAAGTAAGCAATGTCAATAAACCTTGCTCTTCGGCTGTATTTCTCCTGCAAGTCGCAAGCATGACTTCTCCAGCGATCTCTGAGTTTGTAGGGCAGTTTTCGGATAATGTCCAGCATGTTTGCAGGTGTGTCCAGGTCGTTTAGATACTGCACATCTTCCATAGCGTTGCAGCATCCGCGCAGGAAGAGGCTGTACTCCTGGAGAGCCTTCACGTCCTCATTTTTAATAGATGACCATGACAATGCCCTGTCCATGTACGCTGCTGCCACCTTCTGTTCATTTCCATAATGCTCTTTCAATAATGCTTTAGCTCTTATGAACCCTCTGTCAGAGTCGAGGTGATGACAGCTCCTAACCAGCTCCTTTGCATGACCTTTTGTATATTGTTCCAGAAAATAAAGTTTATCACTACTGTTGTTTGTGTTTCTTTGAACTCCATTTTCAAAAGCTCGTATGAAAGAATGATACTCAAGGGGGTTACCGTCAAACATGGGAATTTCTCTTTTTGGAAGAGCGGAGAGGCTTTGCTGTTGCATTAGAAGTGTACTGATTTCATTTTGTTTCCTCATTATGTCCAACACGCTGTCATTTTGTGAGCCATTATCATTGTTCTGTACATGTTCTTGTTGTGTCCTGTTTTCTTCATGTTCTGGAGAAGTTAAAAAGCGCTGCAGAGTGAATGAAGGGTGCTCTGCATTCTCAGGTAAGTTTACTTTTGGTTTTACAGTTGGTGGTGTGATGTTATGGATGCTGCGTTTGGATTTCACTATTTGTAATGGGACAAATTCAGTGGCATTGACATTGAGGTTTTTAGAATGTTCCTTTTCACAATATGAATTCATTCCATCAGACACTTTAGACCTTGTTCTTGAACCAAGGCTGCTTTGTGCTTTAATTATGCTCAGTTTGGTCATTTCTTCAACCACTTCGCTTTCCAACAGAAATTGTTCCTTCCTTCTGCGCAGCTTTAACTCCTCTTCTTCTATTGCGTATTTTTCTTTCAATATTTTTTGTTTCGAGGCCAAAACTGCCAGATTTGTAACACTCTTGAGTCGAGCAGATGCACGTGAAGCAGAAGTGCAGTGTGAGCGTGACTTTTTGCTTGATGCGTTCGAGGCGCTGTCACCGGGACGCACAGTGTCCTGTGCGTAATGTGCGTTTGGCACCTTTGGCACGCGCTCTGTGTCTGGCGCTAGAGCAGGTGCGCTAGGCTCAGTTGACTCTGCGAGCTCAGCTTTGTTTCCTGCTTCAAAGTGTTGCTCATTTTTGTTTGACTGGACAGAACTTTCGCATCCATTTTCCCGTTTCCATTTCTCAGCATTTTCTTTGAATGTTTCGCTGTATTCCACGATTGCTGTGAACCACTCATTATGTTTCTCAGTCTCTTGTTCTGGTAGAAGAGGCAAAAGTTCATTGTGCAGCTGCGTGGATGTTTCCAGCAATTCCTCCACAGTGTTCATTTGTGAAATAACTTTAGACATATTTTCCTTTGAGCTCATTTGCGCTTTTATTTGTGGGATAAGCGCCTTTAATTTATTCACGGCGGCTTTGCGCTCACTTTGGAGCCGTTCAATCTTGTTTTCTAAAGCCTTTTCAGTGAGTTTTATTTCTCTTTTGCCACTTGACATTTCCATGTTTGAACCTGTAGCACTTGCACTTATTTGACTCATTTCCTTATGTTTTTATTTCATGTGGACCAACAATAAAAAGCATCAAGTGCGCATCGAAATTTCATTCATGAACATTGCATTTAAAATTCATTGACAGTGCAGATATTCATTCCAAACAGTTCAACTTTTATTAGGCCTTTTGACAACACCAACGCCACGCATTTGCCACAGTCCCATCAACATCAAATAATTCACGAAGGAATTCCGTCACATTAAAAGAGCGATACCACCAGCGTTCATTCATAAACTCATTGCCACATTTATTACGCACGATGAAGCGTATCTTAGCGGATTCCTTTTATCCACAAACAAACAGGCTCGGGCCTACCTGCTTCCAGGTGAGTGGCGTGGTGTAGCTCTGAGTGACACTTAGCTGCAGCGTTTGACGTGATGACTTGGATTCTTTGCATTCTTGTGCGTTGTGGTGATTTTCATTCAGTGCCTTTTTTGTTGACAAAATGTTGCGGCTTCCTGCAGACCTGAGCCGCTGAGCCGGTCAGAGTGGGTCCTGTAATGTGATGACGCGTATTGAAGCCTATGCTAATAAATCCTTGATCCTGGTATTGCGTTTTAAAGTGATTTATTGACTTAAAAAGGTGCAGCAAACAAAGTATGGAAAAATGATAAACTGCTGAACTGTAACATAGAACCTGATGTGAGCAAAAGAAGAGGTATAAGGCAAACAAACGAACAAAACGAACAAACGGTCAACAAAAAATACGGCTACCCACTCAGCCCTGACTCATCACTCGCCTGACAGATACACGCACACTTTTACCCCTGCTCGTGCACGCGCACCTGCCCCGTGAGCCCCGCCCCCTGCTGTGCAGCCACACACACACACACACACACACACACACACACACCCACCCAGTGAACCCTGATCTGTCTCCTACAGTTATTTTGATGGGAAAGAAGTCCGTCTGATCCCCTGATCATCCTCAATGAACATGTGTTGCTTAAGCTTATGTATTCAGTCATTATTCAATGGTAAACAAAAAATCCATGTGAAAAAAAATCACTTCTCACTGTTTTCAAGACAAATATTTATATGCGATTAAAATGCGATTAATTAATCACAAAGCCTCTAATTAATTATATTATTTTTTTAATCGAGTCCCAGCCCTAGCTAATATTAAACATTCGAGTATTTAGAATTTACTTTGAGTGACTTCTTATTGCATTCAGGGTTAAATGTTTTTAGTAAAATAAATGCTGTGGTTGTTTTCTTGTTAAATTTAGCTTTAGAATTGTGTAACATGTTGGACCAGACTCTCAGTGGGGGCCACACTGACAGTACAGCTTGATGTCCACTAGGGGGCCCCAAACTACCTTTTCCGTGTGTCCAAGAGCAGGTTCTAAAGGTTGGATGTCTGTAACGTACATAAACAAGCGCTCCTTTGTAGTCAGTTTTTAAGCTGTTCCGTAAACGTGGATGTGTCCCGTGTTTGCTCCTCTTGCAGCGCAGTACTGGCCTCCCACCTGTTGGGGGAGGTGCTGAACCTCATTGGGAAGTTCGGCTGCCTCCTGTGTGTCCTAGGCAGCGTCCTGCTGGTCATCCATGCGCCGCAGGAACAGGAAGTGACATCACTGCAGGAGATGAGCGACAAACTGCTGGAGCCGGGTACAAACACAGAGGCTCGAACTCGACACTCGAGTAACTCCAGGGACCATGGTTTCTCTCTTTCTGGTCTCTCTGGCCTCTCTCTGGTGTCTCACTCTCTCTGGTCTCTTTCTTGTCTCTCTATGGTCTCTCTCTGGTCCCTCTTTCTTGTCTCTCTCTATTCTCCCTGGTTTTTCTCTCTCTCTCTCTCTGGTCTCTTATCTCTTTCTTTTCTCTCTTACTTGTCTTTCTCTGTTGTCTCTCTCACTCTCTCTGATTACTCTCTCTCTCTGGTCTCTCTTTCTTGTTTCTCTCTCTGGTCTCTCTTTCTTGTATCTCTCTGGTCTCTCTTTCTTGTTTCTCTCTCTGGTCTTGTCCCGTCATGTTAAATTCTGGGGAGTAGTGTTAAGGGACAAAGTGACGACAGAGACAGTGAGTAACTGTGTGCTCCTGTGTGGCAGGTTTCCTGGTGTACGTGATCCTGGTGCTCCTGTCCGCAGCCGCACTCATCCTGGTGGCGGCGCCGCGCTGTGGAAAAACTCACATCCTGGTGTATCTGTCCATCTGCTCTCTGCTGGGGGCCTTCACAGTGTCCTCCACCAAAGGCCTGGCCATCGCCCTGCAGACCGGTGAGAGGGGAGACTCCGCCCACAAGCAAGGAACCCGATAGAAGAGCTGTTTTAAAGCTGCACTAACTGACTTTATTTTTGTATTCATTACGAAAATGCAATCCATATCCATGCAGTGCATTGGAATATACGTCCTTTTGAAGAATAAGTAGCGCAGATTTGTGCTGGTGTGACATTATATTTTAGATCGAGTTTTGGTGAAACAAGGAAGAGAAAGTGTTTCGGGTCTCAGATTGTGACCAATCACAGCGAACCACTGGCCCCCACTTTCGTGAGAAAAGCCACAGGTCTCTGGTTAGCACCGACAGCTGAGTTAGCACAACAAGCGGCAGAGGCTAACCTGAAGCTTCCTGTGTCTTCGTTACTGCTTACACAGCGAAACAGCCATCTGAAACAAAGTCTCGTCCTCTCCGCGCTTCCCGGTTCTGTCATGCTATGGTCACGCCATCCACATGCAAAAGTGCGATCTTGTTCCATATTGTGAGACGCTAGCTCCGAAGCTAACAACAGCACAGATCACAGGCTGCGGGGGAGGGGGCTAGTGGGGGGCGAAAGCTCCGTGGGTGCGGGGAGGGCGAGTAGAGAGAGGGAGCGCATCGCTCGAGTTTGACATTTTCTCCAAATCAGTTAGTGCAGCTTTAACTGGACAATACTGAGGGGAAGCTGACTCACCTGGTTTACTGAGCTGGTAGGAGAGAGAAGAGAGAGAGGAAAAGAGAGAGAAGAGGGAAAGAGATGGGAGGAGAGAGAAGAGTGAGAAGAGAAAGAGAGGAGAGTGAGAAGAGAGAGAGGGGAGGAGAGATGTGAGGACAGAGGAAGCGAGAGTTGGAGGAGAAACAGTGGAGAGTGGGGGAAAGGAGAGGATTAAGAAGAGGAGTAGAGAGGGAAAGAGGTGAGGGAAGTTGGCAGGAGAGAGAATAGAGGGAAGAGTGGAGAGAGGAAGCAAGAGAAGAGAGGTGTAGGAGAGAGGAGGAGATATGATGAGAGAAGTGAGGACAGAGGAAGAGAGGTGGAGGAGAGAAGAGGGAAGAGTGGAGAGAGGAAGCTAGAGAAGAGGTGGAGGAGAGAGTGTAGAAGAGAAGCTGGGGAATGAGGAGAGAGGTGAGGGGAGTTGGCAGGAGAGGGAAGAATGAGAAGAGGAGGGGAGAGAGAAGAGAGGACAGGAAGCGAGAGAAGAGCGGTGGAGGAGACAAGAAGGGGAGAGGAGAAGAGAGATGGAAGAGTGGAGAGAGGAAGCGAGAGAAGAAAGGTGGAAAAGAGAGGAGAGGAGAGATGGGAGGTAGCTCCGATCTCAAACCAGGAACAGTAGGATGACTCCTTACACTATGACGTGTCTGTGTTTCTGTGCGCACTGGTTTGATGTTTACGCAAACACCTCCCTCTGGTGGTAGAAGTCAGGACCTGCAGGCTGAGATGATATTGTTTTTACATGTTTGTCCATATATTTTCAAAGAAGACTGTGAGACGATCAGTAATACATGTTTTCGTCGTGTTCTCGCAGGTATCCATGACTACAAGGTGTTCGCCAACCCTCTCACCTACATCCTGGTCCTCACCCTCGTCCTCTCCATTCTCGCTCAGGTAAACTTGTACAATGTCTCTACTTTTACATATCAATTCAACAGATTTAATATATAACATTGTTAAATTACTAAAATGCACAATTCAAAGTGCCTCACAAAGGGACACGTGTTTATAGACCATGAATGAGTTTTGAAGCACCATTTATGAGGAAGAGCCTATGAACGATCCGCCCTCTACTGGCTGATATATGTCACGACCAGTGTTGGGTGTAACGAAATTACAATTTGAGTAACAGTAGTGTAATGCGTTACTATGAAGATACGTTTAATTATATTACAGTTACTACGTACAGTGCCTTGCGAAAGTATTCGGTCCCCTTGAACCTTTCAACATTTCGCCACATTTCAGGCTTCAAACATAAAGATATAAAATTTTAATATTTTGTCATGAATCAACAACAAGTGGGACACAATCGTGAAGTGGAACAAAATTTATTGGATAATTTAAACTTTTTTAACAAATAAAAAACTGAAAAGTGGGGCGTGCGATATTATTCGGCCCCTTTACTTTCAGTGCAGCAAACTCACTCCAGAAGTTTAGTGAGGATCTTTGAATGATCCAATGTTGTCCTAAATGACTGATGATGATAAATAGAATGCACCTGTGTGTAATCAAGTCTCCGTATAAATGCACCTGCTCTTTGATAGTCTCAGGGTTCTGTTTAAAGCGCAGAGAGAACCATGAAGACAAAGGAACATACCAGGCAGGTCCGAGATACTGTTGTGGAGAAGTTTAAAGCCGGATTTGGATACAAAAATATTTCCCAAGCTTTAAACATCTCAAGGAGCACTGTGCAAGCAATTATATTGAAATGGAAGGAGTATCAGACCACTGCAAATCTACCAAGACCCGGCCGTCCCTCCAAACTTTCATCTCAAACAAGGAGAAGACTGATCAGAGATGCAGACAAGAGGCCCATGATCACTCTGGATGAACTGCAGATAACTACAGCTGAGGTGGGAGAGTCTGTCCATAGGACAACAATCAGTCGTGCACTGCACAAATCTGGCCTTTATGGAAGAGTGGCAAGAAGAAAGCCATTTATCCAAGATATCCATACAAAGTTTTGTTTAAAGTTTGCCACAAGCCACCTGGGAGACACACCAAACATGTGGAAGAAGGTGCTCTGGTCAGATGAAACCAAAATCGAACTTTTTGGCCACAATGCAAAACGATATGTTTGGCGTAAAAGCAACACAGCTCATCACCCTGAACACACCATCCCCACTGTCAAACATGGTGGTGGCAGCATCAGGGTTTGGGCCTGCTTTTCTTCAGCAGGGACAGGGAAGATGGCTAAAATTGATGGGAAGATGGATGGAGCCAAATACAGGACCATTCTGGAAGAAAACCTGTTGGAGTCTGCAAAAGACCTGAGACTGGGACGGAGATTTATCTTCCAACAGGACAATGATCCAAAACATAAAGCCAAATCTACAATGGAATGGTTCACAAATAGACGTATCCAGGTGTTAGAATGGCCAAGTCAAAGTCCAGACCTGAATCCAATCGAGAATCTGTGGAAAGAGCTGAAGACTGCTGTTCACAAATGCTCTCCATCCAACCTCACTGAGCTCGAGCTGTTTTGCAAGGAAGAATGGGCAAGAATTCCAGTCTCTCGATGTGCAAAACTGATAGACATACCCCAAGCGACTTGCAGCTGTAATTGCAGCAAAAGGTGGCGCTACAAAGTATTAGCGTAAGGGGGCCGAATAATATTGCACGTCCCACTTTTCAGTTTTTTATTTGTTACAAAAGTTTAAATTATCCAATAAATAAGCCAGAGGAGAGGAATTGGTTTTACCAGTGGAGATATGCACACTATTTTAACTATATCAGTCTAAAAGGCATTTAAAAACGTTGTCGTGGAGTGAAAGCTTTGTGCGGGCAGCAAGCGATTGTATTTTCAATAAGCGCACTGTATTTTCCCTGATTTTAGTCTGTCAGGCGCAACGGCTGCTTGTGTGTGTATGTGGGAACTAATTATTCTAAAATAGTCTCTTTCAATTGCAAGTTTTGTAATGTGCTTTGTTTGATCAATGGATAAAAATAAATGCAATGTAATTTAAATGGCACCTTGGCCTGTCTTATTACCTGTGTGCTGCAGGAACATTCCCTAAACTAACATATAATACTAATACTAAAATAAGGTGGCGTTGTTGCAACAATTAATCTACTTAGAAGTTATCCTAAATCATAACCAGCTAAAACTCGGTACCACGACAAACGAAAAAGTAACGCAATAGTTACTTTTACTGGTAACTAGTTACTTTTATAGTGCAGTAACTAAGTTAGTAACTTAATTACTTTTTGGGAGCAGTAACTAGTAACTAACTAATTACTTTTTCAAAGTAACGTGCCCAACACTGGGCACAACGGCTCAATATTTTAACATATTGTATCAAATAATCATAATAACAGATCATACTTTTTACCCTCAAAGATGCTTTACAAAGGGGGCAGGTAAATAATAAAAATAATGCTAAATTAAACTGTTAAGTGTCTGCAGTTTTGAACAGGTTTGTGAAGAGTGGAGAATCTATATTTAATCTTTCTTTGACAATTGTGTTACTTGTTTTTGCACCATAAATGCTAAAGCACATTCCTCGTTTGTGATGATTCTGGTTCAAAGACAGTTGACCTCCACTCGTATCCAGGACTTTGCTTTTGTCTTTTCTGACGGGAATTCATCAAAAATACACATTTTACATTGAAGACACGCAGACACAGTGTCAGCTCTATGTTTCATGTTTAGCTCTAAGTTTAGCTCTAATGTTGTTTCCAGGTGAACTACTTGAACAAGTCTCTGGACGTCTTCAACACTCAGATGGTTTACCCCATTTACTACGTACTGTTCACGTCTGTGGTCCTGTGCACCTCCATCATCCTGTTCCAGGTGAGAGCCGAGGGTCACAGCAGCTCTAAGCAGCTCTAAGATCCTCAGAGCTCTACAGCAGATCTACAGCAGCTCAACTTTCACGCTAAACTGCCCCACTTTTCCTCAAAAGTCTCACACTCACAGGTGATTAGCTGCTGCCTCTGAGAGCGGCTCTGAACCAAGCCCTAACAATCCAAGATGTCTGTCCATTTTGGAACATGTGAGCATTCTGACCAATCAGAGCAGCAGTAAGTGTTTTGAGAGAGACGACGCCGACCAGCCTGCACACTCACAACTACATCTCCTACAGAGATTTTCCTAGTGAGTTCAGTCTGTAGTTTCCGGGGTCCACCGTTGTGTGGCGCTGAGTCAGCGCCAACACAGATAGTAGAACACATCAATGGTGTGTACCACATGTGACTATGTCCTCAAAAGACTCTTCTTATGTGTTATCCCAATGCTAACGGCTATTAGCTAACTATTATTAGCTACCGGAAGTGAAGAATGAAAGCAGCTAGAAGAGATGATCACTGAGTTATCTTTTTGCCTCTCTGAGCTTGTGTTATGTTGTGTTGCTGCAGGAGTGGAGCTCCATGTCCCCCGTGAACGTGGCAACCACTGTGGGCGCCTTCATGGTCATCGTGGTGGGAGTGTCTCTGCTCAACCTGTTCAGAGACAACACGGTATATACACCTCTACACACGTCTACACACAGAGACACCTGTACATGTTCTCATGCATACAAATCACAGACACACCCACACTGACACAGTCACGCCCACAAGGACACAATACACGCCCACACAGACACACACGCCCGCACATACACAGACACACAGACACACACACGCCCACGCAGATACGCCCACACAGACACGCCCACACAGCGCCTCATCTGTGTTTTCGCTCCAGTGTTTTGACTTGTTCTTGTCTCCCTGCTTCTTGTGTCTTTTGAATATGATCGACAGGTAAACTTTAACTTTCCATTTTGCAGTCACAGCAGTGGTCAGAGCAGAAGTAGGTTGTCCTCTCTCTCAGCCTGGTCTTCCTCTCTCTCAGACTAGTCCTCACAGTCTTGCACCGTCTCTCTCGGTCTTGAACACTCTCTAAGACTCCCACGCTCTCCATCAGACTCTCACGGTCTGGTCTCCCACGGCCTACCTTGGTCTCTCTTGGTCTCCATCGGTCTCCATTGGTCTCTCCTGGTCTCTCATGGACTCTCTCTGTTTCCAGCAGACTCTGTTGACTCCTCTCGGCCTCTCTCAGCCTCTCTCAGCCTCTCTCGGCCTCTCTCGGCCTCTCTCGGACACTCTCTGACACTCTCTGACACTCTCTGACACTCTCTGACACTCTCTGACACTCTCGGACACTCTCGGACACTCTCGGACACTCTCGGACACTCTCGGACACTCTCGGACACTCTCGGACACTCTCGGACACTCTCGGACACTCTCGGACTCTCTCGGACTCTCTCGGACTCTTCTAGATTCCCTCAGACTCTCGGCCTCTACCGGTGCTTCAGAGATTACACACCAGGGCAGAAATGTGGACATTTTTCAGAGATTATGAATAAAACGCAAACATGTCTCCCACTCATTGTTAGTGTGTGTTGCCAAATAAAGGTGTTTTCTATTTTCAAATGACAGCTGCTCTTTGGAGATCTCAAACGCAGGAATTTGTTAACCTGCTGTATGTGCGTTAAACATTTGGAATTGGCAATCACAGAACCAATCACAGTATGGGGAACACACACACATACACAGCCGATTTGAATCAGGAAATGGGCCACACAAACCATCAACACGGACGAGGGGCCTATACCTTGGCTCACACGTGGGACTCACCTCTCCAGGCAGCTGACCAGAAACACGTCACACCATCACTGTCTCCTCTGACGAAGGCGGACGTCTCCTGCCCAAAAGTGGTAGTTCAGCAGAACTAGTTTCATTACAGCCAGAGAAATGCTGGAGAGGACCAGAGGGACCAGAGGGGGACCAGAGGGAGACCATAGATAGACGAGATAGAGACCAGAGAGAGGGACCAGAATGAGAGAGAGAGGCAAGAGAAAGAGACCAGAGAGAGAGAGACCAAAGAAAGAGACCAGAGAGGGAGGGGGAGAGAGAGAGACCAAAGAAAGAGACCAGAAAGGGAGGGAGAGTGAGAGACCAGAGAAAGACACCAGAGAAAGACACCAGAGAAAGACACCAGAGAAAGACACCAGAGAAAGACACCAGAGAAAGACACCAGAGAAAGACACCAGAGAGACACACGAGAATAAAAATCCTCAAACAACAACAACCACAAAATACTTAATACATTTCTGGCCTCATTTTCCTTTGGACAAAGAAAACCCTTATATTTGACTTCATCTCCAAAAATATGTCCACATTTCTGTCCGTGAATGTTATATTACGTGTATTGCGTGTAACGTTACGGCCGTAACCCATGGTAACGGATTACACTGGATTGGCATGGGACAATATTGTCGATTATCGAAGCTAACATATTTGAGATAAACGATAATATCACATTAAAAGAAACCTACTTCGACGTCAGTGTCAGGTCAAATGCATTTTTACATCTCGTTTCTGTTGGAGCCTCGTTCTTTCGGTGGTGAGTCCCGCGATAGTGTGATTCTTTTCGACGACCACATCCTTGTTGACCGTCCCATTCCTGGGGCCTCACTGTGTGTCTGGGCGGAGGAGGGGCCTGTAGGACGTCTGGGAAGTTCACGTTTGAGGTGGAGAGAGGCTGAGTCTGTGCACACGTGACCTGGGGTACCCAAACTTTCTCCATCTAAAGAGGAGGGTGATAAATGTGTCCTTAAAGCTCGGGTACCTAACTTTGGGATCAAGTCGGTTGTTCAACAGAGTCTTTTGCATACTAAAAAGAAAGCGTCTTTGGAGTAATCATATAAAATGGTAATGAATTAGATTTTTTTTATTTATTTAAAGGAGCTATGTGTAAAAATCCGGCCAAAAGTTGTTCTGCACCCTGCCTGACTCAGGTTGCCAGATTTGCAGACGAATTCAGCTGGGAACGTAATAACTAAATAGACAAGAGTTGTGTCAACAACAAATCTATAACCAACACCTTTTTCACAAAGATAGAAATCCTGGTTTTATTCCTTGTTTTGTCACTAATGATTTGAGAATCATAACGAGATCTCTTAGTTCTGCAGCCACAGATTTTCTGATTGGTTAAACGGTGGAGGGCGGGACATCAAAATGAAAGCAATAACATTATTTAGGGGCTGGAAAACTAATTTTGAAACTCTTAATATCTCTGAACTACTGTTATTGGTTAAAGAAGTATTTGAAAAGGGCATGTTTTATTAATACCTTTTGACAGATTATGGCCATTTAATAATGACTTGACTTGAACATTTTACATATTGCTAGTTTAAGGTCTCAAATTTGACACATTTCGGCAAAAAAGGGCAATTTGAGAGATTATGGCTTGAGTATTCTGGTACTCACTTCTCCAGAGACCACAGCACGAAATGGGACATGGTCAGTCTGACAAATCAGAGACAAAAGCAAACCAGCTCTGCTCTTGTCTACTCAAGTCTACTCTACCTGGTTGTGTTTCCAATATTCTTTTGTATCTGGTACCGTATCCTAGCAACCTACCCACAACAAACTGGAAAATCGCTGGTGCTTCACTGTCAGGTTCATCTTTAGTCCCTCTCGGAGAATTGAGAGCTGATTGAGGGGGGTCCTCTCTTTTTCACTTTTCTGTCTGAAAAACCTGAACAACATTTGGCCAAATCTACATATATTTGAGCCCATTCTGACTGAGCCTTCAAACAAGATTTGCCAACGGGACAAAGCAAAAGTATCTTTTTTTATAAAGATTCAAGAAATGTCTCCCTTGGAATGAGAAAATAGTAAGTAAGTAAGTTAGTAAGTTTTTATTTATATACCGCCTTTTCACTGCAGATCTGAGTCTCAAAGCGGTTTACAATTGTTAATTTTGGGCATTTGTCTCTCACTCCACACAGAGATGGGAGCGGGGTCGCCAGTACAGGAAGCGCATGCCAGAACTATTGGACATATTTTTAGTGGTAGGGGAAACCGGAGTACCCGGAGGAAACCTACGCAGACACGGGGAGAACATGCAAACTCCACTCAGAAAGGCCCTGGTCCGACCGGGATTCGAACCCAGGACCTTCTTGCTGAGAGGATAGAGTGCTATCCACTCAGACAAAATAAGGCAAAATGGTTTTGTCCCATTGGAGAATACTGTTTTAACACAGTCAGAATGTGCTCAGATTAAGATTTTTTTTTTAAAACTCAATTCAAGCAATTATTACATCTTTTTATTTATTTTTTGCAATGTAGCCGTGGGTGAAAACATTTAAGCCGCATTTCCACCAACTCTACTCAGCTCTACTCTATTCTACTCTACTCTGCCCCGATTAGGAGTGTTTCCACCGGTCCTGTTTAACTGGTTCCAGGTCCTTCTTCTGGCCCTGATTCTATCCAGGCCGAGCTGGTACTAAAGTGTTCTAACTGACAGTGATTGGCCAGAGTGCTTCTGTAATTTCCCTGGATACAGGTTTGTTGTAAGTTTCTAGGATACAGTACCTGACATAAAGCGTAATTGAAACACAACTAGGTAGAGTAGAGTAGAGTAGAGCAGGGCTGGTGGAAATGAGGCTATAGCTTGTTTGTGGTTTGAAAGTTACATACCCCAGCTTTAAAGTGATAGCCTCAGCCTCTCATCGTGTTCCGTTATTTTCCCCATCTTCAGTCCAACCTCAGATTCTCACCGTCTTTCGTTTGTCGCGCAGATGACCCTGAAGCAGCTGCTTGCACAGACGGCTCCGCCCCTTGCCCTTGACCTCAGCCAATCAGCGGCTGGTAACCCCATCGTCGTGCCGACCCTCCGCCCGGTCAGGAAAGAGGACAAATGCGGCCTGATGGAAAACATGGTGATTGAGAGTCTGCCGCCGATGAGGGACGACGAGGGTCTTCATCATCAGCTGAGGGGGAGGGGCCACGGTTCTTCATCATCAGCTGAAGGAGAGGGGCCACGGGTCTTCATCGTCAGCTGAGGGGGAGGGGCCACGGGTCTTCATCATCAGCTGAAGGAGAGGGGCCACGGGTCTTCATCGTCAGCTGAGGGGGAGGGGCCACGGTTTTTCATCATCAGCTGAAGGGGAGGGGCCAGGGGTCTTTATCTTGAGCTGAGGTCCACATTAGTCACTCAGGCTGCAAAAAGCAAATCACACAGACTACATTTATTTAAAATGCATTATTTCCTTTACAAAAAAAAGAAAAGAAAAAAAATGTTTTCGGAAAGAGCCGTTGATGATCATTGGGTTCTTGGATAAATTTCTATGTGATCAGATGAGAAGGATGTGGGCCGGGTTCGGACCGAAGTTGCGCTGTGTATGAGGGCAGATGGGGATGAGGCCCGGAACAACTTGAACTCTGTTTCAGATGATAAAACCTACGAACAAACCACTGAAAAGGTCCTGATTGCGGCCGGGATACAAACACACACACACGGGTTGTAGTGAGGTACAGGAAGTGTATTCACAGAATCTCATAGCGGGCTTATCTCTGACTGGGATTTGAACCCTGCCTCATTCTAAGTGTCTTGCTGGAGGACACAACGGCAGTTTGACACTTTCAATGTATTTGTGTATCACCCTAAATCATAACAGAAGTCATCTCAAGGACTTTACAAAGTTGTGGATTTGCTAACGACAGGAAATAAAATAATGACACACGACACACACAAAGGAGCCATTGGTCCGTCACTTACGCCTCACATCAAAGTCCGTCCTTCTGCTGGGAGCACAGGGACTGGCCTCCTGCTGGGACTTTCTCGTTCCAGAGTCACGACTAAACGTTGGGAGAGGCGTCTGGAACAGTCTTTGTGAAAATGTGAGACAGGCTTCTGCTCAGACACTGTTCAAATCCAGGTTAAAAACAGTTAATTGTGTTTTCACTTTTTTTGATGTGATTATTTATGTCTCATGTGATTTTAATGCTTCTTCTCTTGTTTTGTTCAGCACTTTGAGTTGCCTTGTGTATAAAGTGTGCTACACAAATAATCTTGCCTTTCATGAGCTCTTGCCCCAAATCTGTGAATGTGATGCTAGCGTTACCTCACGACAACTCCACAACAGGAAGCAGCACTGGCACCAGACTTTCAGCCCTGTAACATTTCAATTTCACATTTTTTTTGTATTTTCTGTGTTTTTGTCACTTTTGTGCTCATTTGTTTCCATCGCACTTGTTTTTGTTGAATTGTTGAATGCATTAAAACTTGATTTAGTCCAATTCAATGTATTTGTGTACCGCCCTACATCCCAACAGCAGTCGTTTCAGGGCTTGTCGATTCACAGACAGCAGATAAGAGAATAAACTTGAAACACAGGAAATGCAATAATAACAAACAGGTCCATAGGGAGCGGGACAACCACAGTCCAGAAATGTCCTTTAAAGTTCCTGGGTCATTTGTGTTTATTAGACCCTCCTGGATCAGTGAAAACCAGTCAAAATTGGACAGGACAACATTGTCTGCAAACAGCAGAGATGAAATCCTGTGGTCCCCGAACCGGACACCCTCCGACCCCCATATGATTGAATGTGTCTAATATTCGAAGCCAACACACAACTAAGTCTACAAATGCTTCAGTTTTAGTTCGATCCAAACAAACAAGTACTGAAATAATTGTATAAATTAAAACCTACCTTAAAATATACAATCCCCATTCCTTTGAGACCATAAACTGTATGTAGATGGACAGTGGTCGTTTGTTATTATTGTATTTCTGATTTGTTGTTGGTGAATCCACTAATTTGTCAAATCCTCCAAAACGGCTGCTGTTTTGTTTGTGGAGAAAATGAGGCAGAAGCAGCGGCGACAGTTCTTGTGATAATGTTTAGCATTATTTACTTTTATGTATTCATTTATTTGACAGGGACGTTGCAAGTCAACATAGAACAAAACAAGCTTGTAACTGATGCAATGCAAAAAGAGTTTATATCTATTGCTAATTTTCAGCTCCAGTCCCTGGTTGGGCCATTCTACACTTCATTAACATATCAATATTACTTAAAAAACGTACCTATATTCACTGTTTCAATCATTTGCATAAACTCAGAGCTATTTCTGCATTTGCAAATGGATACAATTCTGTTTCGATAAAACAGAGGTCTCCATGTGATTCATTGAATATTCTTCCTGCAGGTCAGATTTCACAACATATTTATTTTGTGGGTTTTTTGAATTTATATTTATATTTATAACTTATATATTTATACGTTTTCCTGGTGCCCCTTGTCTATGGTATCACTTATATGAACCCAACAAACTCACATTCTGTATGATTGTAACTGCATACACAGCAAAACAACGCAACAGTGAGCGTTCTGTTCCTCTGGGCAGCATGAATCCACTGGAGGCGGGTTATGGTGCGGACCTGTTCAAGTCAGAGTGGATCAACAACTTACTGCTGTAATACACTGTGTACGAATATTCACAGGGACGACCCTCACACTCTCTTTGATCCAGGACTCCCACGAGGGTCCCACATCCCAGAAATAAAAAAAGAATAAGGTCGGATTAAGCAGAGTGTCTTCTTTAGAGCGGGATAAACACACAAGCCACATCTCACAAAGAAAACAGAATGTGAGTTTGTTGGGTTCCTATAAGTATAAGTGATACCATAGACGAGGGGCACCAGGAAAACCATCCTGTGTTGGAGGAAAACTTATAATATAAACAACCCCACAAAATAAATACATATGTTGTGAAATCTGATCAGCATTAAGAATATTCTGTTATGGGTGAGTTTCGAACCCCAAAGCAGAGGGAGGACAAAGCAGTTTAACAGAGTCTGGTGCACACTGGGGTAGTCTTACAGTTTTTCCAATATGGTTTTACTGCAAATAGCAAAGACATGAATCTGAATCTGAGTCTTTAATTAATCGAAAGATACAAAAATACTCAAAAAAGTAGGAGCAGTGGAGACAGGGAGCAGGCCGGGCAGAGAGCAGAGCGAAGAGACCAAGACTGGATCTGGAATTTACAACAGGTAAGTCGTGTAATCCAAAAAAAACAGTGAAGAAGTTACTGCAAGGCTCAAAACACAGAGAGAAACAGAAGACTGAGATATTTGGTTAGACCAATCAGCGGAGAGGGAGAGCGCAGCTCATTTACATGCAGTGTGTATAAAGGTGCGGACAGGCCTCTCTGACTTTACATGTCTGCTGTCTCCACACAGACACACATCATGCCTGATGCCAAACCAGCGCCCAAGAAGGGCTCCAAGAAAGCCGTTACCAAGACCGCCGGCAAAGGCGGTAAGAAGAGGAGAAAGAGCAGGAAGGAAAGCTATGCCATCTACGTGTACAAGGTGCTGAAGCAGGTGCACCCCGACACCGGCATCTCCTCCAAGGCCATGAGCATCATGAACTCCTTCGTCAATGACATCTTCGAGCGCATTGGCGGAGAGGCCTCCCGCCTGGCGCACTACAACAAGCGCTCCACCATTACCTCCAGGGAGATCCAGACCGCAGTGCGTCTGCTGCTGCCCGGAGAGCTGGCCAAGCACGCCGTGTCTGAGGGCACCAAGGCCGTGACCAAGTACACTAGTTCCAAGTAAACGAAGCCGTTCACAACGCAACATAAAAGGTCCTTTTCAGGGCCACACACATCTGACAAAGGCTAAACTTCACATGTTCGGTTTCTACTAAATGAAGTCCGGAGTTGATGATCATGGTCGAAATAACATGCATTCCTCAATTAAGTTAAGTTTTAGTACCAATATGATCATTCTAGTTTAAACCATATATTATGTAAACTCTAGTTTTGTACCACGTGGTACAGTTTTGTAGTAGTTAATGTAGTCCATAGTTTCGACCAGGTCTAAATTCACATTCATGAACAACCAAATAAAAAGTGGTGTGTTGACTCTCCAGGTAAAGGCAAGTCTTAGAGGTGAAAGTAAAAACAAAAATTCAAGGCACTAGTGTTCAATAGTTTAGAGAGAAGGATTAATTGGACATTTGATGGATTTGATTCGTATTAATTCGAGCTGAAAGTATACTTACGTTCCTTAGTTTATGAACTTTAGTACATTCATATGTCAGCTCAAAATGAAAGTAAAATCCTACAAGATTTTACTTGTACTCCCACATGAATATAACTTAAATACATCCATGAATTTCTTAAAATTATTGAATTAAACTAATTCTATAAATATAATTGTACTCTGGCCCCCGTTTTATTCACATCTCTTAAATAAGATAGACTTTATTGATCTCACACAGGAGAAATGTCCATGTCACATCTGGCATGGATAGAATCACTGTGCAAACATGTTAAATGCAGGATATATTATGTACTCCAGTAAAAAGTGGCAATCAAGAAACTGTCAGTGGTAGTGCAGGTTTTCAGTCCTAATGCAAGTGACTTAAAGTGACTTATTGTACAGTCTGACAGCACTTCTAACACCAAGGATGCCTCAGTCTTCCACTGAAGGAGCTCCTCAGCTCCTCTACAGTCCTGTGCACTGGGAGGTGTTGAATCATATCCTGTTAATTCAAAGTTAAGTTCTGTTTTTCTGGACTCTAATTTAAAGAGCTGAGGTCTAAAGTTTGTCAAAATATTTGGCATTTGTTGCATATATGTATAAGTTGCTTTGAATAGATAGATAAATGTAGATTTAAAACATCTAAATATGAGGGATTGAGTTTATAGTTACATTCGTTTTTGGCTTGTGAATAACGATGAGTCATCAGGTCATTTCCATTATTATTAGTTAGTTACATAACTTCTTATTTTTCTGCAGATTCTCAGCCAGTTGGATGAACGCCCATCCCCCACATGGCCCACAGTCTTCAGGCACGTCCGCAGATGCTGCATAAAGGCAGTGGAGCAGAGCCAGATCCTCACACATCTTTGTGATTATCAGAACTGAGCTTTAAACATGAGTGGAAGAGGCAAAGGAGGAAAGGGACTCGGGAAAGGAGGCGCCAAGCGTCACCGCAAAGTCCTCCGTGACAACATCCAGGGCATCACCAAGCCCGCTATCCGCCGTCTGGCTCGCCGCGGTGGTGTGAAACGTATCTCCGGTCTGATCTACGAGGAGACCCGCGGAGTACTCAAGGTTTTCCTGGAGAACGTGATCCGTGACGCCGTCACTTACACCGAGCACGCCAAGAGGAAGACCGTGACCGCCATGGACGTGGTGTACGCGCTGAAGAGACAGGGCCGCACCCTGTACGGCTTCGGAGGTTAAACACAGGAGTGTAACAAAAACAAACGGTTCTTTTAAGAGCCACCCACTCTGACAAAGAGACTTTACTTCTGCTATGATATAATTAACACATTATCATCTGAAGTAAGCATTTCGTCTGCGTAACCTAAATTGCGTTGAAAACATGTACAGATTTTGGGTGTTTGTCACACTGCCACTCCAACCCCGATGAGGAAAAAGGGCCATTTTAATGTTTGTCCTGAGACAAACTCGAGGTGCGGGATGGACAGAACCTCCCCACTTGACAATTGGACAAGCCTGACTGCTTTATAAACCTGGTCCATGAAATAATTGCCAGAAAATTCTCATATGTGGAGACTGGTGAGATTAGAGTCCTGTAAAAAAAAGATGAACAAAAATATAAAATTGAAATCTGCAAATATGACTATTGATTTGTATCACTTTTGATACATAGGGTATTTGTTCGCAAGTATGAACAGAACCATCCACATACCAGATTAGTGTTTTCTATTAGAAAAAAAGTATGTTTTTATAAAAATGTATTCCTTCATGTCACCCGAATGCCTACTGATAATCATCACAACCTAAGGCCAGTGCTCTACCAACTGAGCCACTGTCGCACTCTTATGTAAAAATCCCCTTTGTTTATCTCTTCTGCTTTCTGTGGGAGCTGTGCTGCAGAGAAGGGTGAGTGCTCTACTGCAGGGCATCCTGGGTAACTCCAGACACCCTCAGAGGAGTAACCAAAGCAACAGGCTCCTATCACTGCGCACAAAGGAACAAAGGATCAAGAGATCTGTCAGACTGTACAACAAACCTGGACGAGTCTTCTGCTGCTGGATCAATAAAGTATACCTATCTTTTCCCTGAAAATACCACTCATTACATGTAATGCAGAGCTATGAGCCACATGTGTTCCTGATAACAGTTCTCACAGTGCTACACAGTGCACAGAGCAACATTTACGTACTCCACGACTGCATAGATATGCTGGAGCAAGGCAGGTTTATTTGTATAGCACAGGCAAAAACTGCCACTCAAAGAACAAAAACTAGAGGGAAAGCATAAATAATAACAGTACTCTAAAATCTCTGTTGTATGCCTGACGAAAAAGAACAGTTTCTGTTAACATTGTCAGCGGAAAATCCTTTCTCACATTTTCAGGAAGACTGTTCCAGATTGTATCTGCTTTAATCTGAAATGCTGCCAGTCCCTGCGCTCCTCAGAGTCTGAGTTGGTTTATATGGCACAAAAATGTCTCGGATGTGCAATACTGCAACTTCGGAATGTCACTTTACTTATTATCCTGTCCTAAATATGTACAGAATATAACTCTGTACTACTACATTTCATGTATATACCAGTATATATTACTGGTATTGAAGCATTTTCAGCATCTACAACTTATTTTGTATATGTTGTGTGTGCGCTGCAACATCTTATCTTTGACTAACACGAGTTAATAGAGCACATTATTGAACATGTAATCATGAAGAAAAAAGAATAGACAAAAAACAAGCACCAAAGCATAACACAAACTCAAATGTAACTTTACTGACTTCTTTTGTAACAGCTCAGTGTTATTATAATTGCATCAAACGTCTCAATAAAAGATCCATTGAGGTTGTTGTCCAATTGCATTATGCTCAAATAAGAGGCAAGAGAAAAAGCATCACAATAGATGATATTGGGTCATTTTCAATGGCACAAACAACACCTCAAGGCACACACAGTTTACAGCTATATTGCTCCAGTTTAGAAGCTTTGTGCTGAAATAGGACGTTCACATCTTCCGTCAGTCAAAACAGAAGTGCTGAGTGTTAACTAACTAATGGACGGGTGAATGTTGATGTTAGAGCAATAAAGTGATCATCATTATAGAAAATATCTCTCCAAACAAAGGGAAACATATGGATAGTGTTGCGTGGTTCAAACCCGCTGCTGCTGGTGTGTTACTACCGCCGACATATTTGTTAAATACAACTAAAGGCTGCACTCAAAGCGAAAGTTTAAAGACTGGAAATAAAACTGTGATGTGTCTTCTCGTTGTGGATATGCCCAATATCTGTCATTAAAGAATAATCAAGACGTTTTTAACGCTAAATGTAGGAAAAAGTCCTCGCCCTGAGTTGGATCATCACAGACAGCCGCGTGGTTTTGAGCATTAAACTCCGTTACAGATGTTTCAACTGAGAAAAGGACAATTTATCCACAAAGTAGAGTTTCTTCCGCACACGAGGATGTATAACATGATTGGGAAACGTCTTTTATTTGTTTATAATTTAACTCTAAAGTGCGAAGAGAAAACACAGAGCCGAGCCAGGGACACTGAGCAGAGCAGGTTGAGTCTCTACGGTTCTCACAGCCGTAATAAACCTCCTCCTCGCGCCTCCGTCTCCACTAGACTCAGATCTAAACCTCAACACGAATCATGGCAGAGACCGCACCCGCAGCACCCGCTCCGGCCAAAGCCAAGGCCCCCAAGAAGAAGGCCGCCGCCAAGAAGAGCGATGGCCCCAACCTGGGAGCCCTCATCAAGACCGCCATCGCGGAGTCCAAGGAGCGCAAAGGCATTTCTGTGGCCGCCGTGAAGAAGGCGCTGGCGGCGAAAGGCGTCGATGTGGTCAAGGCCAACAAGCGCATCAACAACACCCTGAAGAGGATGGTGCTTAACGGCGTAGTGAGCCAGACCAAAGGCACCGGGGCCTCCGGCTCCTTCAAACTGGCCGCGAAGGAAGCCAAGCCTAAGACCGCGAAGAAGGCCCCCGCCAAAGCCAAGAAGCCCGCAGCAAAGAAAGCGACCACCCCCAAGAAGAAGGTGGTGAAGAAGGCCAAGTCCCCTGCCAAGAAAGCAGCCAAGAAGCCCGCAGCAAAGAGCCCCAAGAAGGTGGCCAAGAAGCCCGCAGCAAAGAGCCCCAAGAAGGTGGCTAAGAAACCTGCCAAGAAGGTGACCCCCAAGAAGCCCAAGGCCGTGAAGAAGAGTCCCAAGAAGGCAGCGGCAAAGAAGGCTGCTCCCAAGAAGGCCAAGAAGTAAACTCCTGCGTGTGTGTTGTTTTTCAACTCAAAGGCTCTTTTAAGAGCCACCACCTCCGCTAGAGAGACGCTTCTGCTCATAAGGCATAACTGTATAAATCGCACTGCTATACACGTTTAATAACTAGAACTGATATCAATATACAAGAAATTATACTCAAATGTATACAAGAAATATATACATACCTCTATGAAGCTGTAAGTAATCTTTATTTATTTATTTATTTATATACCGCCTTTTCACTGCAGATCTGAGTCTCAAAGCGGTTTACAATTGTTAATATTGGGCAATTGTCTCTCCACTCCACACAGAGATGGGAGCGGGGTCGCCAGTACAGGAGGCGCATGCTAGAACTATTGGACATATTTTTAGTTCTGAGCTGTGCAGGGTATGACCTGGTTAGTACTGTGATGGGAGACCTCAGGGAACACCACGTGCCACGGTGGGGCGGCTGTAAAGTGCCAAACTGTGGCTGTGTCCTTAGGCAAGACACTTCACCCACTTTAAGAAGAGTCTGGTGTGTGTGTGTGTTTGTGAATGGTTGGTGGTGGTGGGAGGGGTAGACGGCACAGACTGGTTGCCTCGCTTCTGTCAGTGCGCCCCAGGGCAGCTGTGGCTACATTAGTAGTTTATCACCACTGTGTATGGAGTGAATGAATTATGACATGTGAAGCGTCTTTGAGTGTCCAGAAAAGCGCTGCATAAAACAGATGCATTATTATTTTTACTACGACAAATCAGTTACTTATAACGCTATTTTGTCACATTCACTTCATTGGTATTTCTTCGTATATTGTATTATAATAAACAGAGAACGACAACAATGTGATATAATCAGTAATGTTGTGCGTGTATCTCTTCAAAAATGACCAGTTCCTGTCTGTCACACATGGCATGACTGAGTGACAGTTAAACATATAGACGACAGTAACTGTTCTTTTTCCTGAGTCTCTCCAATATTTACAGTCGATGGTCCCTCCAGAAACTGGTGATCCTGCCCCTCAAACGTCTTCACTGCAGTCAGAAGCCTCCGCCTCGTGAATGAAAGCAGCGCACGGGACAGGGGCGGGGCTAACGCCTCAGAGCCAATCAGCTTCGCCCTGACATGTATAAAGAGCCACAGCCTCAGCCTTATACTCATCCTGTTTCAAGTCTCACACTGATCCAGAGCAGACAAAATGGCCAGAACCAAGCAGACCGCCCGTAAATCCACCGGAGGAAAAGCCCCGAGGAAACAGCTCGCCACCAAAGCTGCGCGCAAGAGCGCCCCGGCCACCGGCGGCGTGAAGAAGCCTCACCGCTACAGACCCGGGACCGTGGCTCTGAGAGAGATCCGCCGCTACCAGAAGTCCACCGAGCTGCTCATCCGCAAGCTGCCCTTCCAGCGCCTGGTCAGGGAGATCGCCCAGGACTTCAAGACCGACCTGCGTTTCCAGAGCTCCGCAGTCATGGCTCTGCAGGAGGCTAGCGAGGCCTACCTGGTGGGTCTGTTTGAGGACACCAACCTGTGCGCCATCCACGCCAAGAGGGTGACCATCATGCCCAAGGACATCCAGCTGGCTCGCCGCATTCGCGGGGAGAGGGCTTAAAGCACCGTCTCTATTCTCCACACAACGGCTCTTTTAAGAGCCACCACATACTCTTAAAGAATTGACTTCAATGTGCGAAATAAGTAGTTATGTAGAAATAATATAAAGGTACAAAATGAACATTCGTTAGACCATTCAAAGGATACATTAACGTGAAGTTGATTGACGCTTCCTAACTATAATATAATTTATATTATGTGGCAACCACATATATTTGTTATTTATAGCTTGTGTATAAAAACTTGCAAGATTTAAAAGCAGTTATTTCATTTCGTTTTTCTAAACTAAACAGCCTGGCATGTGTGCTCTGTTCTACTTAAGCCTTCGTGATACTCCACTAAGGCTTATGAGGGTTTTTACAGCATTGTTAGACATTTCTCACCCTCTTCATCTTATGGTCAAATGGAGGATGAGACTTTCATTCCTTTGAGTTTACATGTATTATCCTTTATCTTTGGTGTTTGATACATCCACATAGCTTACATCAGACATTTATCATAATAGGATTAAAGGCACTATACCCGTTTCTGCAAGGTTTGAATGTTTAGCACCGCCCCCAACTCGCTCAATGGCTTCTCATTTCCCCTACGCTCTCATAACACAGAGCCATCTAGCTCAATTTGCGATCTGACATGTATGCTAACATTAGCATTAGCGCAACTTCTTGTAAGCTGTACAACAATCGCTGATGAAATAGTACTAAAGCAACGCACTGCTAACACAATATATAGGTAAAAGAATACCGCTAGTTTCGCATCTGAATGTATTCATTTAACATTAGAAAATATTCGAATATTTAATTATAATTTATTATACAGCTCCTCACAGCAGCAGTAGAACACTCCATTGACTTGAATGTAATTCTACCGATCATTTTTTCTTGATATGATGGATTTAGGTTCGGTATATAAATGGGTAACTCACTGCTGATGTTCAGAACTCTTTGTTCAGTTTTCATGTAGTTCTAGAGCCAGCACGTCACGGTGAAACCTTTGGGAGCTAACTATTTTATTTGTAGTCATTAAATACATTTCGAATTATAAGGGCTGTCTAATATTTGTTCGAATATATATATATGTTTTAATTTTAGAATTATATTCGAATTTCGAGGCCGACGCCCTAGTGTAGAGGCTAGAGGACGCAGGCTGTTCGCTGCTCGTTCGGAGGAGAATGAATGAGCGTCCCGCTAAGACTCTACTCAGCACTTTTCACGGCAGCAAACTCATACACCGCTGAATCAATTACCTCAAGTTTTCAATTAAATTATAGATTATAATACAACTTGTATGTAGTAATAAGCATTTTTATGAACTACTTAGAAAACAAATCGGGTATAGCTTCTTTAAATGAAATGTCATCAGAGATCCACAATAATTGATCATTTATTTTACTGGACAACTCTTTTCTCATTCATCACTGAATGAATGAACGCTGTGAAAAGAGCGCGCTCAGCCTGAGGGCGCGCGCTTCGATGGCTCCGTGTTTTGATTGGTGTATTGTCCTCAAATCTAGACCAATCAGCGCGAAGCAGGGTCTTTATATATCAGCCGCAGCTTTGACCGAGCACAGTTGAATCTTTTGAAACTCAAAGAACAGCTCAAGATGTCTGGACGAGGAAAGGGCGCAGGTAAAGCCAGAGCTAAGGCCAAGTCCCGCTCCTCCAGGGCCGGGCTGCAGTTCCCCGTGGGCCGTGTGCACAGGCTGCTGAGGAAGGGTAACTACGCCCAGCGCGTCGGTGCCGGAGCCCCCGTGTATCTGGCCGCGGTACTCGAGTATCTGACCGCTGAGATCCTGGAGTTGGCCGGTAACGCCGCCAAGACAACAAGAAGACCCGTATCATCCCCCGTCACCTGCAGCTGGCCGTCCGCAACGACGAGGAGCTCAACAAGCTGCTGGGAGGAGTGACCATCGCCCAGGGAGGAGTGCTGCCCAACATCCAGGCCGTTCTCCTGCCCAAGAAGACCGAGAAGGCAAAGTAAAGGCTCTTAGCAACCACCACACAACGGCTCTTTTAAGAGCCACCCACTCCCTTAAAGAGATCTATCTTCTATTGTCATTAGGAGTGTCATAACATTGGCTATTTCCATGTTTTGTATAGACGGTAGACTGTTGCTAATAATGGAACCGATATATAAAGGCCACACACACAATATCACTGAATGGAATATATTTAAAAATGACAAATCAGTTTAAATGGGTAGGTTTTGTGATTTGAAAAAAAGTGAGGTCTGGTGGAAGAGTGTTCCAGCGGCTGGATGCTCTGGCCCCATCGTGGCCATTTAATGGTTGTAACGTGTGATTTTAATGTTGGAGCTACGCCGTCATAGTGATAAAGCTGTGAAGCACTTTGTGGTGTTCTCTGCAGGAAAAGCGCTCTACATTTAAATAATAAAAAAAGATGATTAGAACAGACATTGGTGTGAAATCATTCACATTGCAGTCATTTATAGTGACTGCAAATGATCCTGAACTATTGAAGAAGGCATCTTCTCTACGGTCTGTAGTGAAACATCTAGATAATATACCAAAATAAAGGTGTTAATGTCAGGAATGAACCAGACAGAGACGGATCGTGGTGCGCCAAACTCTGGAAGTTTATTTAAGTTTCTCTCAAGTTCCAATTGTTTCTTTCTCTCAGACAGAATAAAGGCAGTACACATTTTTTATAGTCATTGTCACGTCACACATCGAAAGACATACGTGTCACACAGAGACAGAGTCCTTGTACAGTCCTGCACGTAGGCCATATTGCTATCTAATACTACCAATAACTCCTAGGACCTTTAAAGTTTGAGCACAAATGAAACTGGTCCTGTCCTGTAAAGAGCGGAGCTGAGCCAAAATCTTCCCCCCCCCCTCTCATAATCATTGTTCCACCCGTAAACGTCCTGTTTGTGTAGAAACACAGTGACTGTGAAACCCCTCCCCGCGCACGCGCCTCTCCGGAATAACGGTTCGTCCTCCCGCAGTCTTCGGTCACGTCCGCAGAGGCATTATAAAGACAGCAGCGCAGCGCTCTGGCCTCATCTGAGAGTTTTACCACAGAACAGTAAAAATGAGTGGAAGAGGCAAAGGAGGAAAGGGACTCGGGAAAGGAGGCGCCAAGCGTCACCGCAAAGTTCTCCGTGACAACATCCAGGGCATCACCAAGCCCGCAATCCGCCGTCTGGCTCGCCGAGGCGGTGTGAAGCGTATCTCCGGTCTGATCTACGAGGAGACCCGCGGAGTGCTCAAGGTTTTCCTGGAGAACGTGATCCGTGACGCCGTCACCTACACCGAGCACGCCAAGAGGAAGACCGTGACTGCCATGGACGTGGTGTACGCGCTGAAGAGACAGGGCCGCACCCTGTACGGCTTCGGAGGTTAAACACAGGACTGTAACAAAAACAAACGGCTCTTTTAAGAGCCACCCACTCAAAAAGGAGAAACTTCCCATGTGGTCGTTATCATTGAGGTCCTACCTTTACAGAATCTGTAATCTAATAGACAATCACGTGAAGAGTCACAACTGCACTTGCCTGGCCTTAGCCATCCGTACACCACTCAATCATTTTCACTGCAAAATCTAATTTGTACTATAGTGTGGTGCTATGGCTCATCACTAAACACAACGGCAGAGCCGCCCGCGCAAAGAGAATCAACTTCTGTCGTGACAACTAAAGCAAACTTAATGACTTAACCAGTGGTTTCTTTTTTCCGTCCAGCTCCAACGACCTGTCAGTGTAATTGTAACATTTGTGAACTTTTCATGCAGTGTAGTGCACTAAATAAAATAGATATTGTAATAAAGGGACTGCAGATGGAAACTAGCTCAAGCTAAATCTGGTGCAAAGCATCTTTAATTAATGTATTTGCACATTTTCCCTGTTTAAATAAATTAATAAACTAAACTAAGTGACATAGTGTTCAGTCCTTGTTCCTAGGGGGCAAGGGAAGAAGGGAAACCAGCGTCAGTGAGCAGCCTGGCCGCTGAGGGGAAAAAACTGTTTTTGTAGTGCTCGGCCTTAGCCCCCAGATGCCGCATCCTCCTCCCAGAGGGAAGCAGGGTGAGGAGGCCGTGACCGGAGGGGTCAGCCATGATCTTTCTCGCCCTCCTGAGTGCCCTGGAGTCGTGCAGGGACTTGAGGGAGGGCAGGGGGTGGCCAATCACCCTCTCCGCGGAGCGTATCACCCGCTGCAGCTTGACTAGGTCTTTCGCAGCTGCAGCGGGGAACCAGGTGATGATGGAGTGAGTGAGGATAGACTCTATGATGGCCGAGTAAAACTGGGTCCTCATGGCCCTCGACAGTCTGTTTTTCCGCAGCTGACGAAGGAAGTACATCCTTTGCTGGGCTTTTCTCAGGAGGGCTGTGATATTGGATTCCCACTTCAGGTCCCTGGAGATAATTATCCCCAGGAACTTGCAGGACTGGACAGATTCCACCTGAGTGCCACCCAGCATGACAGGAGGAGGCGGGGTTGGGTCCCTCCTAAAGTCCACCACCATCTCCACTGTCTTCAGAGCATTCAGCTCCAAGTTGCTGAACCAGTTACGCAGCCGCTCGATCTCCCTCCTGTAGGCCGACTCATCCACTTTGGAGATGAGGCCCACCAAGGTGGTGTCGTTGGCAAACTTGAGGAGCTTGACCGACAGGTGGAGAGAGACACAGCTGTTGGTGTACAGGGAAAACAGTAGTGGGGACAGGACACAGCCCTGTGGGGAACCGGTGTTGGTGATCCTAGAGCTGGAAATGCTCTTCCGCAGCTTCACCCGCTGGGACCTGTTTGTCAAAAAGTCCGTAATCCATCTGCGCGTGGGGGCAGGAACTTGCAGTAGGGACAGCTGGTGCTCTAGGATGGGTGGAAGGATGGTATTAAAAGCCGAGCTGAAGTCGACGAACAGGATCCTGGCATAGCAGCCAGCAGTGTCCAGATGATTAAGGGTGTAGTACAGAGCTATGTTCACGGCGTCCTCCGTGGAACGATTAGCTCTGTACACGAACTGGAGCGGGTCCAGCACACGATCAGTGATTCGCTTCAGATGGGCCAGGACAAGGCGCTCCAGGACCTTCATGACCACAGACATCAGGGCAACAGGTCTGTAGTCATTTAGGCCTGTGACCTTGGCCTTCTTGGGGGCGGGAATGATGCCCTGCAGCGGGGAACCAGGTGATGATGGTTCCCGGCTGTTAAAGATGTTGGTAAACACCGGGGCGAGCTGATCAGCGCAGTGCTTCAGGGCGGAGGGGGAGACAGAATCCGGGCCGGACGCCTTCCGGGGGTTCTGGCTCCTGAACAACAGATTGACCTCTCTCTCCGTGACAGTGAGAGGGGGTGGGGGTGGGGGGGAGAAAAGTGGTTGAGGCCAGGGTGGGTGGAGGGGGGGGCGGGGGGGGCAGGGGGGAAACAATCTTTCTCAAAGCGCCAGTAGAACTCATTGAGCGCGTTGGCGAGGGGGAGGTTGTCAGATGCCTGCGGGGACCTGGGCATGTAGTTGGTGATGGTTTTAAGTCCTTTCCAGACAGAGGAGGAGTTCCCCTTGGAGACCTGCCGCCGCAGTTTCTCCGTAGCGGAGTTTTGCCTCCCTCACCGCTTTGGCAAACTCATATTTGGCTTGCCTAAACAGGGCCACGTCGCCGCTCCGCCTGGCCACCACCTTCTGAGATGGGCTGAGAACCAGGGCTTGTCGTTGTTGTAGATCTTCCTGTGGCAGAGGGGGACACAGACCTCCTCGCCGAGGCTGATAAATGATGTCACAGTATCTGTGTATTCATCCAGATTGTTTCCAGCCTCAGGCCCCGCCCACTCAACAAAGTCCCGGTCACAGCCAGCATTCTCCAGCCAGGCACATAGTCTCTCACTTGCCTGACTGGACCACAGTCTGAAACTACGCACTACAGGTTTTGATATTTTTAATCTCTGCCTATAGTGAGGGATCAGATGGATGAGATGGTGATCACCCTTGCCCAGAGCAGCACGTTGGACAGAATGGTATGCCTCACGGATGGTACAATAGCAGTGATCTAGAATATTTCCCCCTCTAGTAGCACATGTCACTTGCTGTCTGTATTTGGGGAGAGCCCGACTCAGATGAGCCTGGTTAAAGTCCCCGAGCACCACAACAAAACTGTCCGGGTGCTCCACCTCAAAGTCTCTGTCCGAGTGAAATGCGGAAAAACCTTCCAGCTGTACAGCCCCATCCGGGACTGTCTGCGTCAGTTTCGTTGCCACAAACGCGAAGACAGCCGTGGATTTGAAATCATTCTCCCGTGAGACAAGCAGCCGGAGTTCATCCATTTTATTGGGTAACGAGTTCACGTTGCAGAGGAATATTCCTGGCAGCGGTGGACGCAAACTTCTCCACCGTAGGCAAACCAGACAACCTCCTTGCTTCCCCCGTTGTCTCCTGGTCCAGCGTACAGCACTGGCGAAGAGCGCAGTCCCCCTCAACAGAATATCCAGTACATCCGTGGAACGGGTGAGTAGTGTTGGTACAATGTCCAGTGGGGTAGAACATCCAATGTGCAGCAGCTCTTCTCTTGTGTAGGAAGGCTCACACGATACGTATAACACAAATAACAAACAGAACGCTACACACGTAGTCACCATAGCAGCCCTGGGTGGCGCCATCTTGTTTGCACCTGTTTGAGGAATCAGGAGGAAATTGTTCCTGTTTATGGAAGCACTTTAAGTCACTGACCAAGCAAGAATCTAGATATGATAAACGCAAAGGTCTTAGACCACTAATAATAATGATAATGCATCGGTTTTATATAGCGCTTTTTTGGACACTCAAAGACGCTTCACATGTGTCATTATTCATTCACTCCATACACGGTGGTGATAAACTACTACTGTAGCCACAGCTGCCCTGGGGCACACTGACAGCCCCTCCGACCACCACCAACCATTCACACACACACACCAGACTCATTCCAGGCAATGGGGGTGAAGTGTCTTGCCTAAGGACACAACGGCAGTTTGGCACTTTACAGCTGCCCCACTGTGGCTGGTGTGTCTTGCCAAGGACAGAACAACAGCAGACAGTGGGAGTCGATGGTGAAAGTCTTGAGCGGGGCTTGAACCCACGACCTTCTAACTTAAAGGCCAACGCTCTACCAACTGAACTACTGCTAACAATTGATGGGCAGGCTGTCACTGACCCTCAAAATATTGCAAATGCATTAAATACATACTTTGTGACGTCAGTCGAAGACATTTCTAAAGGTTTTAAACTGGAGGTCCCAGATATTCCTTTGAGCCCAACAGAAACATTTGTTCTAGAACAAATGAATGAAACAGGCATTCAACAAATAATCAAATCACTTAAAAATTCTAAAACAAAAGACATATTTGGCCTTGATTCTGATTTCTTAAGTCACATAAGGATGCTCTAACAGGGCCCAAAACACACTTAGTGAACATGTCCATCAGAAATGGGGAATTCCCTCTAGAATTAAAAAAGGGTCTGATAAGTCCAATTTTAAAATCTGGAGTAAGTAAGTAAGTAATGTTAATTTATACATACTGAATTTTACAGACCAAGGTCACCCAAAGCGCTTTACAATGTTCAGAGTCAGATATTGTTCTAATCATTCCACACACGGTGATGACAGAAGCGAGTCGCCAAACACACTGGACCATCAGCCCCCAACCAACACCATCCATTAACTCTCTCTCATCCACTAAAAACATCTGGAGATCCCGAACAGGCCTGCAATTATATACATTTTTCAATTCTCTCTGCAATTTCAAAAATATTGGAAAATGCTGTTGCGCAACGACTGGTTCAAAAAGACAGGTTCTATGAAAAGATAGGAGCAGGTTTCAGTCCGACCCTCCTTGTTGTTGATTACAGGCTAGCGCAATGTGCTAGCACTGAATGATTGACGTGTCTAAGTAGCCAATAAAAAGAGCTTTCTTTTGATGGGTGGGACTTGTAGGAAAACTTTTCATTTTCACAGTAAAAGCATGTGTAAAGACGCTGTTAGTACTGCTGCACATATTTCATATGCATTTACACTACTAAAAAAATAATTTTGAAAAAATGTAAAAGAAAATCACACAAATTTGTAACTTATAAGTACAACAAATAAAAAAATATGATTTTTATGATGGTGAAATGTTAGTAAAGCAGTTTGGCACAATTTGGCACAAATTTTGCCAAATTGGTTCCGAATGGCACTACTTGATAAAAAAGAGAAACTGCATAAAAACTATAAAACTTAGAAGTCTGAAACTTTACACAGTTGTTGTCAACAACACAATGAACAAACTGGCGTTGAAAATGTTCTTCTTCCAATGGCTTTTTTAGGGCATTTATACATTGAATTTTTAGGCGAGGCTAAAAAAACAGGGTTTTTTTCCCAAACTTCAAAGGATGCAGAGTAAAATAGGAATGACACAGATTATTTCAGTGTATATTTACATAAACTAGAAGGGCCTAGCTTTAAAATGATGCATCACACAAGCATGTGAGATGTAAGATGTGTTTTTAAATAAGCCAAGACATTTGGGTATGCCAAACTTTTGTGTACGAGCCAAAACAGATGTAGGAGTTTAAGAGGTTAATGGGTTCACATCTTACCTGGAGTCAAGGGTACAGAGTGTATGCATTAATGGCACTATTTCAGCCCAGATGAAATACAAAACAGGAGTTCCTCAAAGATCTATTTTAGGTCCACTACTGTTCTGCCTTTACATCAACGAACTGCCAAGCATCTGCACAGAGGTTGAGGGCCAACTGCTGACGATGCAGTGTTATATGTTTCAGCCAAAACTCCTAAAATTGCAGCAGAGTTACTAAATAAGCAAATTACAAGTGTCTCATAGTGGTTTAGTGATAACTGCTTGTCGCTAAACCACTCAAAAACTGTATCAATGTGTTTTACTTTACGTCACTAATCATTGGATAACTTTCAGCTTCTAATTGATCAAAACAATTGATCAATGGCAGGAAATCACTTATCTAAGTCATGAGGCCAATGTGACGTTGGAGACAATAGGACCTGCATCTCGGGAGCATCTGTGTCATGAGATTGCACATGTATAGATACTTTGTTATAATTGTCTCTTATGACATTAGAATAATTGCAGAGACAGCTGACTCGATCCTTCTCTGGGGTCAATCTGACTGTGGACGTCTAGAAGGACAATAACAGCCTGTAGAGAGACCCTCAGGCTCAGACTCGGGACTGGTCTACAGGATTATTGAATGAAATGTGTATTGATGACATCCTGTGTCCTGTGACCAATCCATGACGGTATAAGGAGCTGCGCCTCCTTCTTTCATTGTCTTTTGCTTGATGGTACTATTGCAGCATTTTAGACAAACATGTTGTATTTTAACTTTGTTCTGTACTTTTAATGCCTATGGGACTTATGTTTAATTGTTTTGCTGGTTTTAGGTGTTAGGGACCAGGTCTGCAAATCAGCCTTTGGCTCGATGGCCTATGGACATTATAACAAGAACATTGATATAATGTAACAATGTTCTTTGTTCTGTCCCTTACAAATAAACTCATAAATAAATACATAAAATCTGGAGATGGGTTCCCAGGGGCTGTTACTACGGCAACCACTGCTCCTGCCATGAGCCTTAGTGTCATCAGGATGGGTCAAAGGTAGAGGAGGAATTTCCCTACGGGGACAATAAAGTGGACATCTACATCCTCAGTCTGGTCCATCCTCCACGGTGGCACAGCTGTTGGAGCTTGTGTTTCACAGCTAGGAGGTCCTGGGTTTGATTCCACCCTCAGGCCTTTCTGTGGGGAGTCTGCATGTTCTCGTTGTGTCTGTGAATGGAAAATATCTGAACTCTACAAACAATGTACAGTTCTTTGGTGACCTTGGTCTGTGAAATGTGCTATATAAATAAATATTACTTCCTTCCTTCAGTACAAACATACAATTTTACATTTCCTTTCATGACCCACTGGCTCCTGTCTGTGAGCTCTCAAACCTGTGTCCATCTGTGCTGGGCACAGAGAGACCAGAGCAAACCAGACCAGGACCAGGAATTTCCGCAGCTGTTACACAAACGTTGCCAACAGTCACTGGATCAAGGAGGGAGGTTAAAGTCTCTGTACAGAACATATTCTTCTGATTTTACTGTAATATATATATATTTTTTGCAGGACGCAGAGTTCGGCGTGACGACAATGTGAGTTTGAGAGTTCATCTGTGCCAAAATGTCTGTTCATCAGCTTCTAAATATATAACACTGACCACAGGGGGCGCTGCAGAGTGACCGCTTCTATTGTGTTTTCAGGAGGAGACAGTTTTTTATGAAAACATCGGAGGATCTGCAGCTGCCGTCAGAATCCACAGACACGTGACAGAGTGAGGCCCCAGTGCGAAGGGGCCTCAGAGTGAGAGGGGCCCCTGTGTTTACGTAATTAAAATAAAACGCCTAAAACTTATAAAAGTCTATGTTTTCATTATCACACTTGAGAGTGGAGCATCTACTAGTACCTGATTGCTGCCAGGTGAGGGCAGTGTGGAGCTGCAGCTGAGTGTGATTGACTGATGCTGTTGTCGAGAAGTGGGAGGACTTTGAGCTGTGAGCTTTGTTCTTCCTGTCTTACAGTAAGAACTTCTGCTTTAGCTTCGTTTCTTACACACACGCACACACACACACACTCCTTTTAAGGGATTGTCCCTGATTGGCCTTTTCAATAATAACGTTTAAAAATACACAAAGTCAAAACAATATGTCAACATTACAGGGTCTCGAGATGGGCCCCTGGGAACCGCTTTAGTCCTGATTTAGACCAGCTTTAGTCCTGCTTTAGACCTGCTTTTGTCCTACTTTAGTCCTGTCTTAGACCTGTTGCTATTGCTCTGTGAACAGTGATCTGTGATAACCACTTCTCTACAGCTTTAGCAGAACAGGATGTGGCAGAAACAGAATCTATAAACTGAAGTGTTAGAAGGAAGACTGAAACTGAGACTGAGACGATGGCCGAGCGTGGACCGCTGCTGATGCGGCTGCTGCGGCTGCTGCTGCTGCTCTTTCCTCTGCTCTGCGCTGGTCAGACATTTATGATTTTAAAAATGATTGAGTTTCTTTTGGTTTTCCTTGAGTTTCATGTGTGTCCACAGAATGTTCTGAGGTGGTGAGAGTAGGAGCAGAGGTGACTTTAGTCTGTGGTGAGGTCCAGCTGCCGCAGACTCAGTGCAACAAGACCACTTGGGGCAAGGCTGAAAAAACTGCAGTGGAGCTCTTCAAACTGGGACGGCCCAACCCCGAAGTGTCCTCAGATCTGTCCAGTCGTCTGAGTCTCACTGAGGACTGTGGGCTGAAGATCCAGGATGTTCAGACTGAAGATGGAGCAGACTATTACTGTCAACAGTACGAGGCTACAGTTTGGGCTCCGAGCTCTTCTGTATCTGTGCCTCTGACTGTGGTCTCATGTGAGTGTTGCAGATCATTATTGTGTGTGTGTGTGTGTCTGTCTGTGTGTGTGTGTGACTTTGTTTGTGTGTTTGTCTTTGTGTGTGTGTGACTTTGTGTGTGTGTGTGTGTGTGTGTGTGTTTGACTTTGTTTGTGTGTGTCTTTGTGTGTGTGTGTGTCTCTTTGTGTGTGTATGTGTGTGTGTGACTTTGTTTGTGTGTGTGTGTGTGTCTTTGTTTGTGTGTGTCTTTGTGTGTTTGAGCTCCACAAGTTCAGGCTCGAGTAAAGATTCTTGTTTGTGATGTTTTCTGGTAAGCCGTTCTGTCTTTGTGAGAAAATCAACTGTATTTGCATGTTCTTCCAGTGACTGAAGAAGAGGAGCAGCAGAGATATAAGCTCCAGTGTGAGGTCTTTGGGTTTGTGCTTGACGTCAGAGTGAGATGGTTGTATCAACGAGGAGTCGTGGATAAAAGAAACACAGGTTTGATCTTCACAAACCTGAGGGACAGATCTATCCTCTTTGTCCCAAAAGACCATTTTCTTTATAAAGAAAAACATCTGTTCAAATGTGAAGTGATAAAAGGAGAAAAGACTCACATCTTCAGCTTCACCAAAGAGGCTCCAGATGAGAGGATCCGACCAGAGCCCGGTGAGTCACTATTTGACCCTTTGGGGGATATGAGTAGGGTTGCAAAACTACCTGAATTTTCAAAGATAAATTATGTACAATAAATGTTCATGTGACATCACATGTTCCAAAGAGAGATCGTTGTAGATTGTGTTGGAGCAGCTTCAACATCTTTTATGGTAACTTTGGGAACCTCTCTCTCTCCTCCTCTCTCCCTTTTCCTCTCTCTGTTCTTTCCCCTATTTCTTCTCTCTCTCCCTCTCATCTCTCTCTCCTACCACTTTCTTCTCTCTGTTCTATCCTCTCTCCCCTCATCTTCAGTTGTGGCGCCCTCTGCAGTTGCCAGATCCCTCAGACGTTGCTAAACAGGACAGGGTCTGGTCAGTCCTGTGATGGGAGACCTCTACACAGACGGGGGTCGGCTGCAGCTGTAAAGTGCCAAACTGTTGTGTCCTTATTTAAGACACTTAACCCACATTAGATTGTGTCTGGTGTGTGACTGGTTGGTGGTGGTGGGAGAGGCCAATGGGCACAGACTGGTTCCAGTAGTTTGTCACCTCCGTGTGGAGTTGGTGAATAATGATTTATAAAACCAATGCATTATTTATTATTATTACAATCATGATGACAATGGAAGATCTGTTCATCTCCATGTGTCCACAGAGGATCCAGACGAGTTCCTCACAGAAGGATCCACTGACTCTGGTGAGAACTCTCCACATCACTGTCCCCCCACCCCTTCTCTCTGAACACTCTGCTTTCAAATTCCTTTCACTGTGAACGCTCGGACTGTGACTGTGACGTTTAGCCTCTTTCTTCAAAAACAAGTTGTGTAACCTTTGTTCAAACACACAAAGAATGCTGTTACAATCACACAATAATATACAGCTACATATTTGCTCAATAAAATAGTGTCTACAGCCAAACTTGATACATATATCAGTAGGAGGACCGCTACGGAGATGGAACTTGTGCAAAACTTCCATTAATAGTCACGTTTCCACCACAGGAGTCATGGTAAAAGGAGGGGGTGGAACTTCTGCAGAAACCGTCCTCCCCCTCTGTCTCTCAGGGGCCATGTCTCCACTGTTGAGCAGGACCCTCGACGACGTCATGACTTTTGATCGCCGCATAAGCAAAACTCATTACGCCAAACTCATTTTTTGTTTTACGGCGGAAACTACTCTGGTTCTTGTGGTCTTTGAGTTGTGTTTTACTTTTCATGGAACTATTTCAGAGTGTGATGAATCCCCAGTGCTTTGAGGTGAAGCAGATATGTCCAACTATATCTTTTCACTTCGCCACGATACCTCAAGCCCTCAATGCCTGCACCTCATCATCCGTGCATTTTTCGTACATTTTGCTTTTGTAGTTTGCGACAGTAGCTCAGTTGGTAGAGCATTGGCCTTAAGCCCAGAAGGTCGTGGGTTCAATTCCCACGTCTGCACCTTCTCCACCGACTCCCACTGATGACTGCTGTCGTTGTGTCCTTGGGCAAGACACTTAACCCCACTTTGCCCAAAGCCCCCACTGAAAGATCAAGGCTATGCTCACACTCAGAGAGCAGCCGTCCTCCTGTGGACTCACCACCTGCAGAGGGTCAGTGAGGGGCTGGTGCTATGAGACTTGGGTGGCATCTCTGACTGCCACCCCCCTGACCCAGAAATGGATTAAAGGGTAGAAAATGGATGGATGGATGGATGGATGTTTCCAGTAGTGTCTGCTAGGCTAAGGCTAATAGGCTAATTCTAAAAAGCTAATGCTGCTGGATTTGAAAAATCTAGGTTGTTTTGGGGCTTTCTGATGGCGTCAGAGCCTGTTCTAGCTTTAGCCAATGAGCGCCGGGTTAACCTCAAGCCACACCAGGATTTCAGGGCCCAACGGAGCAGCATTGAGGAGGTACTCAGTTGGAACTTACACACAACTGCCGGGTTGGTGTATCTCTGCCTCAAGATGCTCCAAGTGTGATGTCACACTCCTGCCACTGGATGGGAGTGTTGCTCACTCTGTCCATCTCTTATTCCATTAAACTCTTCGTCCACGTGTTTTCCTCTCGGCTCCACATCTAAACACATGAAAAGTGCATATTGTCAGATCCTGGTTCAGGGACTCGGTGACATCATCTTGTGTTGTCTCAGGTCTGATGGTGCGATACCTGGTGGCCGGTGTTCTGCTGACCGCTCTGCTGCTGACCCTCGTCTGGACCTACAGCTCAGGTCAGTCTGGGGCTCCTCAGGGCTCCATCCTCAGTCTGGTCCATCCTCCACGGTGGCCCAGCTGTTCGAGCTTGTGTTTCACCGCAAGAAGGTCCTGGGTTTGATTCCTCCTTCAGGCCTTTCTGTGTGGACTCTGCATGTTCTCGTTGTGCCTGCGTAGGTTTCCTCCAGGTGCTCCGGTATCCACTACTTCTAAAAACACGTACAATAGGTCTGAATGCAGTGAGTGAGTGAATGAATGGTGTTGGTTGAGGGCTTTGATGCTCCAGTGTGTCCAGTGTGTTCACCGTCATCACCGTGTGAAGAGAATGGAAAAATATCTGAACTCTAAAAACATTGTACAGTTCTTTGGTGACCTTGGTCTGTGAAATGTGCTATTAAAATAAATATTACATTCTTCCTTCAGTACAAACATACAATTTTACATTTCCTTTCATGATCCACTGGCTCCTGTCTGTGAGCTCTCAAACCTGTGTCCATCTGTGCTGGGCACAGAGACCAGAGCAAACCACACCAGGACCAGGACCAGGTCCCAGGGCTGGTCCGTGAACTTCCACAGCTGTTACACAAACGTTGCCAACAGAAGATTAGAAAATCAAATTAGTTTAGATAAAACAGTCACTGGATCAATGAGGGAGGTTAAAGTCTCTGTACAGAATGTGGAAACAAACATATTCTACAGATTTTACTGTAATGTCTTTTTTTTTTTGCAGGACGCAGAGTTCGGCGTGACGACAATGTGAGTATGAGAGTTCATCTGTGCCAAAATGTCTGTTCATCAGCTTCTACATATATAACACTGACCACAGGGGGCACTGCAGAGTGACCGCTTCTATTGTGTTTTCAGGAGGAGACAGTTTTTTATGAAAACATCGGCGGATCTGCAGCTGCCGTCAGAATCCACAGACACGCGACAGAGTGAGGTCCCAGTGTGAGAGGGGCCCCTGTGTTTACTTAATTAAAATAAAACGCCTAAAACTTATAAAAGTCTATGTTTTTATTATCACACGTGAGAGTGGAGCATCGACTCAAAGATCAATCTGAAGACACTCGAACGGAGAAAATATGGTCTTAATATTTTCAAGATTACATTTATTGTTGCTGCACAGAATGTGGTTAGAATTTGGCGCTTAGACCCCGGCAGAGCACTGCATGGTTGCAGAAGGGGAAAGAGATTATGAGATGAAATCCCCCGGGGCCTAGACCCTGGTGGTGGGAGCGAGGAGAAGAATGAGATGGGGAGGAGGAGGGTTGTGGCGTGAATGAAGCTGCTGCTTGGATAGAGCTTCCTCGACATGAAGCTTGATGCGGGCAGTGCCTGATTGCTGCCAGGTGAGGGCAGTGTGGAGCTGTCGCAGAGTGTGATTGACTGATGTTGTTCTCGCGAAGTGGGAGGACTTTGAGCTGTGAGCTTCGTTCTTCCTGTCTTCCAGAAAGAACTTCTGCTTTAGCTTCGTTTCTTACACAGTGACACACACACACACACACACACACACACACACACACACACACACACCTAATAATGAAGCATCTTTTCTCCTTTTAAGGGATTGTCCCTCATTGGCCTATTCAATAATGAAGTTAAAAACATACACAAAGTTGAAAACAAAATTTCAACATTACAGGGTCTCTCATCTGGAGATGGGTCCCTGCAGTGGCGTTCCGAGGGTACCCAGGGGCCCCAGGCAACAGAGTCCTTTTGGGCCCCGATACCGACCACATAACCACTTAAAAAGGTTTATACTACAGTAGGTATAAATATATATTTGATAATAAGATAAAATGCAATATCTTTTACTTGTTGAAATTAATATAAATTAAATGTAGATAATTTCTTATTTTTAACAATAAATGGATCGGCCTGGGGCCTGCCTGGCAGACTGTACAGTCTACCATAGAACATTGTGAATACTTCAGAACTTATCGTGACACAAAGCAATGAGAACTAATTTAGCATGTCTTTTTATAAGCTTGTTCATTACACTCATCATGTTAAAATTATTTACAAAAACTACCTATGGATTTTATGGTTTTATTTTGACATCATTTCTCTGTGATTTTAAGTTTAGTTTGACTTCCTGTTCCCCTGTTGATTGTCTGCCCCGCCCTGATGTGTTTCTCTGTGTTCTCTGTGTGTAAATGTACCTGTGCTCCTCTTGTTGCTGGTCCATTGTATTGTCAGGTTCTGTCCATGTCTGTTCTGCTCCCTCCTGTTCCTGGTTCCTTTGGATTTTTGAGTTTTGTTTTTGCCTTGGACATTTATTTTATCGTCTTTTTTTAAAGATAAGATAAGAGTTCCTTTATTCGTCCCACAGTGAGTAATTTTTGAATCATCATTCATTCGACTCATTATTTTGCATTCCTGCATTTTTGGGTCCTCATTTACATCGCCTCATGACACCAGGATCACAGAGAGCGATAAACCACAAATTGTTTAAGCCCAAAAAAAATAGTGTAAGAGTAAAGAATGAGATGTGTTATTATCATATTTAGAACTAGAAATGAAGAACGTGATTGATTGGGCTTCACGTAGTTAGCATTGTCCATCTATATTCAGCCTATACGCATCAAGAGTTCCGAGCTTCTGGCTCGATCGCACGGCATTGTGGGTAGTTTTCTCAAAAAGGTGGGCATCAAATCACCATACTGGATTTGTGACCGGTTGGTTCAGCTTGCTCTTTAACTATGACATTTCGAGCCAAAATCCATAAAAGGAAACACAGGTCAGGTGCATTAATAGGAGGCATAATTTTCGTTCAACACACTTATTTTAGTTATTTTCTTTTTTAACATGAGAACGAAAAAAATATGTTACATTTCACATGTTTGTTAAAACAAGGGTAGACAAGGCAGCCACACTCCAGAGTTCTTAACCCGCCTTCCCCAGCCGGACTACAGTCTTACTCAGGTCAACGACGCTTGGTGAGGGACCATGACGGCTGATCCACACCGTTCCCGGGAGGTAGCCAACTGGAGATACTCGCAGGCCTGGAGCTACATCGCGGGACACAGCCACACCACGAACTGCATTTAAATAAAACATCTTTAGAACTTGCATAAAATACATTATTATTTTCGCACAATATTTACCTGGGAGCCAAGGATAGACAGGGCCAACAAAATCGGCAGAAGTGGGCAAGAGGCAGACATGGCAATAGGTAGGGGCTTTTATATGCGGCAGACCGCCCCCTAGTGACTAAATACCGGTACTAATAAAAGCCCGCATTGTCACAGATTACTTGTTGCAAACGTGATCTCTCTCTTGTTTCCAGCCCATAGATTGTTTTAATAGCTAGAAAATTCACCAATTTCAGATATTTTGAAGGTAAGGCAAAGATGTTTTCATTTTCTTGTGGTTTTAGATGTAAACACAACCAACTGACTATAGAGCTACATGTAGCTTATGCTACTTACAAGGATCGAATGCTTACACGAGCTTTATAAACTTTCCCAAAGCTGTACTTTGGACATATTTGTCTGGTGTGGAGCTTCTGAATGTAGAGAAGGCCAAATACCTGGGGCACGTCATCAGGAGTGACCTCAGTGATGACGATGACATTCAGAGGCAGCACTGTAAGCTGTATGGACAGGCTAACAAAGCACGGAGATTTTACATGTGTACAGATAAAGTGAAAACAACTGTTTAAAGCCTACTGCACACCTCTCTATACTGCACACCTCTCTATACTGCACACCTCTCTATACTGCACACCTCTCTATACTGCACACCTCTCTATACTGCACATCTCTCTATACTGCACACCTCTCTCTATACTGCACACCTCTCTATACTGCACACCTCTCTATACTGCACACCTCTCTATACTGCACACCTCTCTATACTGCACACCTCTCTATAATGCACACCTCTCTATAATGCACACCTCTCTGTACTGCACACCTCTCTATACTGCACACCTCTCTATACTGCACACCTCTCTGTACTGCACACCTCTCTATACTGCACACCTCTCTATACTACACACCTCTCTGTACTGCACACCTCTCTATACTGCACACCTCTCTATACTGCACACCTCTCTATACCGCACACCTCTCTATAATGCACACCTCTCTGTACTGCACACCTCTCTATACTGCACACCTCTCTATACTGCACACCTCTCTGTACTGCACACCTCTCTATACTGCACACCTCTCTATACCGCACACCTCTCTATACTGCACACCTCTCTATACTGCACACCTCTCTATACTGCACACTTCTCTATAATGCACACCTCTCTATACTGCACACCTCTCTATACTGCACACCTCTCTATACTGCACACCTCTCTATAATGCACACCTCTCTATACTGCACACCTCTCTATACTGCCAGCTCACTGTTTGTTCTTAATAATGTCCTCACTCTGAATGCATTGCTTTTTTGTTAAATGAAAAAATCTTTGCCTTACCTTCAAAATGTCTGAAATTGGTGAATTTAGCTATTAAACTTAGCTATTAAAACAATCTATGGGCTGGAAACAAGAGAGAGATCACGTTCGCAACAAGTAATCCAATATGGCAGGGTGATTTGATGCCCACCTTTTTGACAAAACTCCCCACAATGCCGTGCGGTCGAGTCGGAAGCTCGGAACTCTTGACGCATGTATGCTCCTGACAGAAACCGTTCGTGAATTGGCCGTTCGGGTCAAATGCAGACAGGCCCGTCGCAAGGGGGGTGCGAGGCCCTGTGCGAAGTCGAAACGCGAGGCCCTGCCCTGACACTTTTTTCCCAGATCTGAGGAAAGTTTTTCCTGTTATAATCTTTGACATGAATTCAGCACCACCTTGCGCGGTGCGTGAAGAGATCAGCACGCGCGTAGCTGAGTGTCTTCGCTCCAATGCAGCGTTGGGTGCGCGCACGCACACACAAACACTACGGCACTTTGCCGTATTGCAATATTGGTCACGGTCTCTTTAGCTGACATGGTTCTTTCGTCCTGTGGCAAAATGGCAGAGCAACTCAAAAGATTGCACCAAAAGGAGTCTTTTTCTTCTAATAATTAGATTTCGGCAAAATGCGCCAAAATGGCTATGAGGCGGAATCAATATTTGTTTTTTTTTCTCATCAAATAACGTTTTTGCCATGCCTCCACACACTCTGACAACATACGCTCCTTCTCCTCCTCCTCCATTGAGGGCTCGTATGTGCAGCATGTCTGCTCTGCCTATGTTTGCTCTTTTTAGAGCAAAACCACCTTCAACATCAACAGCAGCAGCTCATATGACACAGGCCAAACACGTTGTTTTAAATATTGGAACAGCGTCGGAGAATGTGTGAGGAGAAAGCCGAAGGAGACTGTCTGTGCGCTCCGTGCCCTGTCCCACACATGGATCTATGATAATAACGGCCCTGTTCAGCATTGTGGATAAACCATGGATCTTTAATAACCACGGGACAAACAGACGCTGAGGATCAGGTATGAACCAAAGAACACAATTCACTCCATGATGCGGAATATTGCTCTTTGAGACGTGAGATAAACAGTGTCAGGCTTTTAATAATGTAAATGGTTTGAAGATGCTGCCATTAACATCACTGTATACTGTGAACAGTTTTAACTCCATAAGCCTGTTGCGTTAGCAGCATAATTAGCAGCATAGTTAGCCGCTGTGACGCATGGCTAATTCTTCAGTTTCTGTCTGCGGCTTGTTAAGCCCAAACAATGCGCACGTATCTTGGAGTTGTGTCGGATTGACACCGGATGTATTCAGACCTGATTCGACTTGGACCATAATTCGTTTGGAAGCGGACCGAGACCACCTCTAAAAGTGGGTCTCGGTTCGGTTCTTTGGTCCGGACCAGGATTCGTTTGTGTGTATTCAGACCTGCATAAAAGCTTCGGATCAGAGTTCCAAACGAATCCTGGTCCGTTTAAAGTGGAGCAAATGTGCAGGTCTGAATACACCCTAAGA